AAGAAAAGAGAATTCGTTAATATCAACAAATAGTATTCTTGAACAGAGCATCCTCGTCAGGCCAGCTATAATCTCTGATCAGTCCTATAAATACCCTCCTAATTAACTTAACACTCACCATTCTCAATCAACAGATTCATTAATTATAATCTCTGATCATCAGGTCTCAATATTCATCTCGATCTCCTTCCATATATAGTTTGTTGTCAATGGCAGGCGGCTCCAAAATGGCATTCTTCATGGTTGCATTCCTTCTGCTGGCTTGTGAGTTTCATTTTCCTAATAAATGTCTTTCTCTGAGTTGTTGATGGAGTTTGCATAATATTCATTGTTATACGAAGTATAGTACAAGATCCTTATTCGACATCTCACGAAACGTGATCTATATGCACGTCAGGCCTACACTATAGACTAGCGATCACACTACCGTATGTCCATCGAGTTTTTTCATTTAGAGCATATGAATTAAACGGAATTTGCGCCAATTGTACTATATATATTCTCTGATAGCTGAATCTCGGTTCCTAATTCTCTAATACTAACCATAAAATTTATTTAATCTGAAATAATAATAACCTACGGTTTTAATTGATCAAAATATATCAAAGTACATAACAAGTGTGAATGTATGTTTACAGAGCAAAATGATGCATGAACTGATTTTGAATTTCCACCGATAACTTCAAGTTTAATAGCGTAGTAATAATAATATTAATAATAATAATAATAATAATAATAATTGATGATAAGAAACTTCCAGCTGATACCGAACGTACGCATCCTGTAATTGATTCATTTACATAATTGTGCATCATGCATTTAATTTATAGGTATCTCATGCTCATCCATGGACGATGTCAAGCAAGCGGTGGCATCACAGGAGGTTCCTAACGCCAACTTGCCCGCCGCCGGCGCTAATCGTTATCAGCCGACGGACGACGACAACAGCTGCCATGAAGATTTGGACTGCCTCAAGAAACAAAGATGCGTCGGCGAATATTGCTTCAAGGGCCAATGCACGTGTCCTTAATTAAACCATGCTAATCATATGCACTAATTAAGAAGTAAAAAAAAAAAAAAAAAGAGTTCACTACTGTCTTTACCTACCTGGGAATAACGAATTTCAATAAAGGGTTGCATGCATCATGCATGTCTGTTGGGTCGTGATCACCCCGAGGTGTAATCTCTCTTTGATACACCTCTGGTGTATCTTCTTATAATAATAAAATTGGGGTATTATGTAACATGATACGAGGAAGAGAGAGTTTGGGGCAGTGGTGAATTTATTAGAGGTTATGGGCTAGTTTGCGACGCCTTTAAAATTAGAGAATCTTCTGAGTAGTAATTTGAATTTGGAGGGGAAAATAAGGTGATAGTCTTTGAATTTGAATCCGAGCAGATGGTGAATACGCTAAGGAATAACAAGCAGCAACCGGACAAACCGAGCAGCTAGCAGTTGACGACTGATAAGTGTGGGAATTCCGAAATCGTGGAATGTGAATAGAAGACAATAGATTGGTGATAATTTGGGGGAGATTGTATTAAGAATTGTGATAGGTAATTAAAGACAGATGCAGTCATGTTTTTTGGTTTGATGTAAAAGCTACTAATTAAGGGTTAATGCCACATTTGGTCACTAGGATTACTAAATCGTGGCATGTTTAGTCACTAGAAAAAAGTAATATCAAATATGGTCACTCGAATTACTAAAACTGGTCACACTTAGTCACTCTCCGTTAGCCTCCGTCCAACTCCGTTAGTGGAGTCCGTTAAGTGTTGACGTGGCTAACGGGAGTGCCTAGTCAGCGTCGTTTTGGGCCGAAAATGGTCAAACCCGACCCGCCACGTCATTAAACCCGCCATGTCATACACCCATGACCCAACCCATTGAATTCACCCAACCCGACCCAGATCCAAACCCCAGCCCACCTAACACAACAAAACTGTAAAATCAAACGGGTTAGTTTCCATTCGCAGACCCGAAAACCCTTCTCCTTCCTCGAGAGTTCTTCACCTTCCGCTAGGTTCCACCATTTTCGATCAAACTCATCAGAAAGCAGAGAGCAGGGAGAGATGGAGCCAACCACACTACCCTCTTGAACCCCTTGACACATAACTTTTACAACCACTCTCGCAATGGTGATTTCATTTTGCTATGTGGAATTGATTTCTTTACGAATTCCAGAATTTTTACAACCACTCTTTGACTGAAATCTATGTTAGTTTTATGGAATTGATGCAGAACTGGACCAGAGAAGAGAAGAACCATTGTCTAGAAGAAACTGAGAAGTCATTCAAGCATTCAGGGGAAATCCTCCGTCTAGTACTGCCATAAATGGTCTGTGGTAGTGATACATTTAGTACGGCTGAAGCCCTTGTCTATCGAAGTCTATACGACAGAATCGGACTCGTCGACCATGCTTTTCCGATGCAACGTGCTTTGCTTCGTTGGTGGCGGCCCCGAGACTCTCTATTCGGCCGAGTGAGGAGGAGGAAGAGGGAGAAGAAGAATCCATGTCGCGGTGGAATAGGCTTGAACGGGTCGGTGTTGTAGATCCGGAACCCGTTGTGGAGACCGCGACGAAGCATCCGTAGTCCTGGTTGATGGAGAGGTGGTAGACGGAAGAGACCTCTGTGATGGGGCGGCGTCTTCGATGGATGCGGGGAAAGCAGAGGCGGCGAAGAAAGAACCGTCGATCCGAAACCCGTTCTTCCAGGTAAAGATTCCTGAGGAACGAGAAAGGGTTTCGAGTCTTAAAATTGAAATTTTGTTTGGTTAAGTGGGCTCGAATTTGGTTCAGGGTTGGGTTGGGTTCATGGGTCGGGTTGGGTTGGGTATATGACATGGCGGATTAAGTGATGTGGTGGGTCGGGCTTGACCATTTCTGGCCCAAAATGACGCTGACTAGGCGCTCCCGTTAGCCACATCAGCACTTAATGGACTCCACTAACGGAGTTGGACGGAGGCTAACGGAGAGTGACTAAGTGTGACCAGTTTTAGTAATTCGAGTGACCAAATTTGATATTATTTTTTTCTAGTGAATAAACATGTCACGATTGAGTAATCTCATTGACCAAATGTGGCATTAACCCTACTAATTAATAAAGAAATTAGATGTTGAAACATAAAATAAAATGACTTGAAACTGAACAATGTTAACGTTATAGTAAAAGGGAGGTTGGAAGTTCGATAACCCTTATTAAAGTGGTATATGTTTGCTTTTTGTGGTTAGGTACTACTTAAAGGCTATTATTAATAATACTTATTTGTGTGTTGAGGCAAGATGCAACCAACCAACCTTGGCCCAACGTGGTTCCGCCACTAATGATCATAATTGGAGATAATAATATTCATTACACTATGAATTAATTGTTGTTATATTTAAAATATGAATGTAATTATAATCTAAAACAAAGTCCAATTAAATCCTAATTTCCATAAATGAGTGGGCTGCTATTGACAAGCTAATAAGCCTTACTCAATGTTTTCCAAATGAATTTGGTACCTTTTTTACTCATTTCTTCCACGATATTTAAAGAATTTTTACATAATGTCAAAATTGATGTGGTGCTCCTTGAATTGAAATGAATTGATGAATTAGCTTTGTTAATAGTGAAGCCAAAAGTGAATCCATCATATTAAGACGTCTATTTGCTTCTCAAACTTGAATGATTTTAGCGATTGCAAAAATGGTGAAAGATTTTTTCAGGTTTTGGCTACATCAAAAACAAGTTTCAGAATTGAATAGACGACCAATTCATTAATGATTTCAAGCACGATAGATACTAAGTGTACTTAACAATTTTTCAAAATATGATTTATCGGGTAAAATACCTCTGGTATCACTTAAGTTTGAATATGGCAGACATACCACTTACTAAAATGACTAATCAAAATTGAGAATAAAAAAGATAAATTAGTAAAAATAAAAAAAATATAAAGAAGAAGAATAAATATATAGAATATAATAATAAATTTAAAATCAATATTAGAATATCTATTTAAATCGCTAATCCAATTAGAAGTATTATTAAAAATAGTTAAAATAGAACCGAATCGATCATCAATACATAAAGACCAAAGAATGATAAATGGAACACAGTCAGAAAGAATTAAACATATTCCAGTAATTGAAGAAAATTTAGAACGAAAGTAGAACGGAAATAACCAAGTAAAAATCAATAAAATCTACAAAATTCCGTAACAAATCTAGAAAATATAATACGACTATAGGAAGAGAATTAGAATTAGTAAATTTAATTAATATGAAACATCTAAAATGTAATATTATAAAATTACAAGGATATTTAACATAGAAAATTATACAGCATCAGCATGAGGTACAAGAATTAAATATAACATCCTCAGATTATTAATATCAATATAGAATTCATAGGATATATTTGCTTCAGCAAATTATTCGATTATTATAACATATAATGGTAATTGAAAATACTTATAATGATAATTGATTTTACATTTTCTATTCAAAAATTGGTTTGGTATCAAAGTCTTCAAAAGAAGATTCCAACTAAATAGAATTTATAGGATATATTTGCTTTAGAGAATAATTCAATTATTAGAAAATATAATGATTATTGAAAATACTTATAATGATAGTTGATTCTAAATTTTATATTTAAATATTAATTTGGTATCAAGTCTTCAAAAGAGGATACCAACTAAATAATAAAATTTTATGTTTGTTATAAGTTAAAATGATTTTTTACAATAAGAAAAGTAGAAGGACCAATTAAGAAATTTAGAAAACAGAATATTCCAAGAATATTTTGTTAATTTTAATGGAATGCACCTAACATTAAACTTAAGTGGTATCGGGTGCACAAATAATATAGTTCAGTGGTACCCGACGCCCTATTCAAACATAAGTTAAGTGGTATGCCTGCCCCAATACTCAAACATAAGTGATACCCAAAATATTTTACCAAAAAACATGTCGTGGTGCTTTTTATTAAATTTATATGACTCAATTATTTCTATTTGAAAATTTAATTTATCAAGAGGACACTAGTAAAAAAAATTCTAGATCCACCACTACCCAAAATCCTTACCCTTATGACTTGGTACAACCCTATAAATTATCCTATGAAATACCTCTTAGGTATTAGAAGGATATGACTTGGTGCAAAACTTAGACATGTTTGGGAACCGACGCCATGTTTCAGTGTGTGTTCCCTATACGGGGAACTCGTCAAGGAAAACTTTTTGAGATCTGACAGCTTTCCCGCCAAGGTGATTTGGCAGAGTTTCGTTCCTCACAAGATATGTGTGTTCATGTGGATTGCCTTCTAGAAAAAGATTCTCACGCACGATGCTCTTAAACGGAGAGGATGGTCATTTCCTAGCCGATGTGTACTGTGCGGCGAGAATGAGGAGACGATACATCATCTTTTCCTTCTCTGTAGGTTCTCCCGTGAAGTTTGGAATGTGTTGGGGAATTTTGTGCCAATTCAGGCTCCGTCTCAAGACATTGCTTCGACTATTGGGTCGTGGCCTTGCTCTTCAACTTCAAGTCCGCAGGTGTGGTGTTCGAATGTCTTCTTGCACGCGTTCTGTTGGAGTATTAGGCTGGAAAGGAATGCTCGAACATTTAGGGAGGACTATGGCTCGGTTCTGGGCATTTGTTTCAAGATTATCTGTAACATTCATGACTGGTTATGCGCCTCGAACAAGGTTGATAGAGTCTTTGCGGATCAGTGGCAGCATAATGCGAGGGAGCGGCTCTTCCCAAGGGCTCCGAACTTTGCTGAGGAGGTTGGAGATGCTGATCAATCACTTTTGGGGAACCTATTATTTCGGATTGCGCTGCGCTGTTTTGTTCATTTCTTCCGATTTTCTTTGCTCACTTTTGGAGTGCGCTGCTTTATTTGTTTTGTGGAGTTTGGACTTTCAGATGGCTTCTTGTGTTGCGTTGTGCTGTCTGTTTTTGTTTGTTGTCCACTTGTCCTTCTCCTTCTTTTACTAATAAAATCTATATCATCATTAAAAAAAAAAAAAAAAAAAACATAGACATGTGATGATACCTTTCTTACCAGAAATGGTAAGACATGATTTTGTACCAGGCGGATGATTCTGTCAATTGAAACGTGAAACTAATTTAGCACAACCCCTCGTATAGTCGTTTGTGAAAGGATACAAACAAAATAGAAGTCTGCAGGCCATATTTGTTCCCTCTCGTTTCTTTCCCCCAGACCCGAAAGCAATGGTTTCTGAACAATACCACAAAATAAACCAGAGCATTTCTTGTTCTCTACTTCCACAGCTTCCTCAATGACATGTTCTTCTCTGTCTCCTTCTTCATGACCTTGGCGACTGCCATCTCGAAATCTTCCTGTGTCACATGCACCCTCCTCTCTCTTAGAGCAAACATTCCAGCTTCCGTGCACACAGCCTGTATCGAATACCAGAGCAGAATGTCAGAACTGTTGGAGAGTGGTATAAGATCCAGCATAACTCTCTCCCAACAACTCGATCAACCGGTTCTTGACAAAAACGTATGAGTAATATAGAAGTAGACGATAAAAAGGTATGGATGGCATGACGCTCTTTATACCTTGAGCTCTGCACCAGACGCCCCGTTCATCTTTTCTGCTATCTTCTTCAAGTCAATCCCACGCATCAGATTCATTCTTCTCGAATGGATTTTCAGGATATCCCACCGTGACTATAGCAAGTTTGTGCAATACAAAAATCAGCCACTTTGAAATTCAAGTAGAGGTTGGGGTAGGAAAAGAATATAGACAACTATACGTACATCTTCATTGGGATTAGGGAACTCGATCTTTCTGTCAATACGGCCTGGCCTAAGCAGAGCTTGGTCAAGAATATCGATACGATTTGTGGCCATCAAAACCTGTGTTATATAACCAAGAAAGAAAGACCACGAGCTTCAGCAAACTGATGAGGAAAAATGTGGAACTGCTCAGTCTCCATCGTTTTGTTTTGACTACCATATTGCATAATACGATACCTTGATCTTGTTCGATGCTTCGAATCCATCAAGCTGATTGAGAAGCTCCAGCATAGTTCGCTGCACCTCACTATCACCATTGCCACTTCCAGATTCCATTCGAGCTGACCCAATGCTGTCAATCTCATCCATGAAGATGATTGATGGTGCATGCTCCCTGTAACAAGATTGATGTGGGGAACCATATAAATACATATTATCCGAAGGCAATAAGAAACCAAAGAAGGACCCTTTTGGCTAATGGAAAGTGAAATTTTGTATGTTTGTTTGTCTATCAAGGGGAAGGATTGTAAAGGAGATCAAATTCACTTCATATGTGGGGATGGAATCTAACTTCCACGGCAGGTGCGTAGGATAGGAAAATTCACGGGTCACTTTCTACCATATAAAAAAAGCATCCAAACGATAGCATGTCCAAAACCCATTTTGCTACTATGCTCCAGCTATTCTACAGGATAGGGACTAAGAAACACATTCCGTGAACTGAAAAATCTCACTAAACAAACGACTAGCAAGTAGCAAGTGAAACGAATACAGATTATCTTAGTTAGCAACTCTACGTCATTCAGCGAGGGCTTAACTCAGCTATAAATCTTAAGGGAGGATTTCATGACTGCTTAAGATGTGCACACTCACACTAACTTCCATTCTCCGTATTACTATTAACAGGATAAATTTGATCAAACGGCTTGCACAACATGAGTTCTCATGAAGGATAAAAGTTGTCCAAGGGATTAAGACATCAAAGGAAGGGCTAGTGATCAAACAAAACAGACATACCTTGCCATAACAAAAAGTTCCCTAACCATTCTGGAGCCTTCACCAATATACTTTTGTACTAATTCAGAGCCAGAGACCCTAATAAAAGTGCAGTCGGTGTGATGAGCCACAGCCCTAGCCAACAGTGTTTTCCCAGTTCCAGGTGGGCCATACAGCAAGACACCCTATAGTGGAGAAACATTTGATGAGACATGGAAAGAATCTCCAGAACAAAAATATTCAAAGTTAAATGGTTAAGAGGTTGCAACATTTAGAATGGTGATCTTAGTACCTTAGGTTGAGCAATTCCAAGACTCTCAAACAACTCAGGATGTTTGATTGGAAGTTCAATGACCTGAATGTAGCAACGTGGAGAATGATGAACAACTGATCAGCAAAATAAAGACAACAAAAGCATTGGCATGAACCAAATATATAAAAAGGAACTCAACAAACCTCCTTCATCTCTTTGATTTGTTGGTCAAGGCCACCAATCATATCATAGGTAGAATCTGGAACCTTTTCAACTTTCATAAGATTGACAAGGGGATCCACTTTACTCGGCAAGACTAGGTGAAGAACATAGCTATCGTTACGAAGAGCCACCCTAGTTGACGGAGTAATCTTTGTTATGTCAATACTCTTGTCAATATCAACAACGTACTTCCCTTCTGGATGAACCTACAAAGGGGAGGAATCTTCTTAACCAGAATCTCTGGATAGACATTATAATGCTAGCAAAACCCACAAAAGCCTACCGAGGATTACAAACTACAAATACCCCATGCTACTAGATTCAGCAATTAAGTCCATGAAGCAAGCAAGAAGCGTGGCAAGAGCAGATTGCAAACCAAGATGAAAATTTGAAGAAAAGAATTACACAACCAGTCTCGCTGTGCTTCTATTTCAGATAGGAAGTCAAAATCACAAGAACCTAATTAGAAGTACATGCAACACCTGTTCTGCTAGATTAAATTAGCTCAAATGAAACTCAAGAGTAGCAAGCAATCTTCATTCTATGCAAAAAGCATTACCTTCACCAAGACCTTATTTTTACCCATAACTTTGACAACTTCACCAACGTAAGAACCAGGCTCTTGAAGCAGCTGAAGCTCTTCTCTAAGCATCCTCACTGTCCACAGAAACGAAAGCAACAAACTTTACTCTCCCAGCCACAAAGTAATCAATTGGACTTCTCTAAAATCAATTACCATTCAACAGAGACATCAAGAAAGCATCAGAACTGCAACAAGAACCCAACTGATACACATAATCATACGAGCAGAAAACCCAATTCAGTAATTGGACTCTCGAAACAGCGAAAAGCTACCCAGATTAGAGAACTCACCCCTGGAATTGAGCTCATTCCGCTGAGCTTCGAGACGGTTAAGATTGTGGCTCTTCTGCCGTACCAAGAGCTGGAGCTCGTGGATGTGCTGCTGGTAGTATTGCTTGAGGCCTTCTCCCTGCCTGGCCGCCACTTTCCCGGCGGAGCAAATCTGATCTCCCATTGAGGCATCCGGATGCTTCGTCTCGACTGCAGCAGCCGCCATAGTCTCGGAAAAAGAAATTCGGGAACTTTTCCCGACTTACGGAGTAGGATTCGACTGTGGCGAAATCTGAACGGCGAGCACTTGATTTTGAATTCAGAGATTTCCGGCGGATTAGAACTACAACGCTACAGAGGACGGAGAAGAAACGGGGACCGGTCACCGTCTATTTCTAGTTCCACGATTCGGGAAGCTAGCCTGACTCTCCGAGCAAGTCACCTCATGAGCCTACAGCCAAGAAGTCCGACCCATTAAGGATTAAATTGGAGCTCGACCCAGAAAAAAAAGGCGAAGGGATCATATTTTGTTGGGCTTCTTCTAGGCCCACAAGAATCCCACAAATAAATTAAGGGGTTTTTTCCAGATCCACCATCATTAAAAAAATTACAAAAATACCCCTGTTTTCGGAAAATTTTCAAAACTTGCATCATTTCAGAAAACCGCACACTGAAGGCGCGGTTTTACTGAAGAAACACGATGGGAAGCAGCGGTCAAAGTAAGGGCAGCCGACAAACCGCTTAGTAAAGCGGCGGTCCGCAGATTCGTTGGATTAGGATGTGATCCAAGGGCGGACCGTGCGCCATGTGAGCGATCCGTGTCAGGGATCGAGAACCGCAAGCGAAGGGGGCGGTTTCTGGCCTGGAAAAATGCAAATTGTGGCTGCAGGAGACGATTTTTGTGTTTGCAAAATTACAACCCCAGCAGGCGGTCCGAGTCCTATATAAACCCCTTCCCCCTCCTTCATTATTTACACCAAAATCCATTCTTCTCTCTCTCTAAGACTATCTTCATATCCATCCCCCCTCTCCGCCCAAAAACCTAGGAAATAGTGGTTTGTTGGTTGCGGCTAAGTCCGAACTGCCATCAGAAAACATTTTTTGGTTTTTCCTTCAGAACCCGTCGAATCTATGTTTGGCTACCTGCAAAAATGACTGATATCTTCGAAGAATAGGGTATTTATTATGATGACTATCAAGCGATACTTACTCATTTTATCAAATTTTTTTGTTGTTATAATTATTTTATTTAATCAATATACTAATTAATTTATGTTGTTGTTATGCAATCGTAGGTTGGGGAGGATGTGGATATATGCAATCAAAGATATTAGATTGATCAAGGACCGATTGATTCATCCGTGCTATACGACCAAGATAACCATCGTTCAAGGGATGTTGGAATTATCACAAGGTACATATAATTTATCATCATTTGTCATATTTTATTTTTTTAACGTAAGTTAGTGGTTTGTAAATAAAATTGTTAATTGTTAATCGTATTGATTATTTTCATTTGTTTAGGATAATGGGGTCTTAAGTGTACGTGGGCACCGGGCCGTGCCACCCACGGGCTAGCACGGCACGGCACGATTAGAACACGGCACGAGCACGGGCACGAAATAAATAGGCCAGCCCGGCACGAGCACGAATAATTTATGGGCCGTACCGGGCCTAAACTTCATGAGCACGGGCACGACACGGTATATAAGTGGGCCGTGTCGGGCCTAATATTTTTGAGACTTTCTTGAGTATAAGAACGGACATGGCACAAAAATAATATTTATTTTATAGAAAATAAATATAAAAAGAATTATAGGTTCAAATATTATAAAACATAAGGAGAAAAATAATTATTTGTTGTTGTTGGAAATGTCATAAAGATATATATGTAATTACTAACATAAGTAAAAATGGACAAAGAGTTAAAGAAAACCAAATCACACTCGCTATACTTCCAGTTTTCTTCCCCTCCGCCTTATTTGTTACTTTTCTCAAACATTATCAGTTAATACTATCTCCCTCCGTCCTATTTTCACATTTTTTTTCATTATCTCTTTTGTTTTCGTCTTTTTCATTAAACACGAATATGAGCATGACATAAGCACGAATAGGCACGACACGATTCGAACTGTGCCCGGGCCTGGGCCGGGCCTAGCAAAGTTAACAAATGGGCTTGCATGGCACGACACGAAAACTGACGAGCCGTGCCAAGCACGGCACGAAATAAATGGGCCCGAAGCGTGCCCGTGCCGTGCCGGCCCAAGCACGGCCTAATGCTCATGTACAGTCTTAAGTGATCATCATGATCCTCCCATTTCCTGGAAAATCGGATTTTAAGCGATCCTCGGATCCCCCTTTTTCTGTTAAAAAGACTGTGTTTTTAAGGATATGTATACCTCTTCTAAGAGTCTAACGAGTGTACTTGTATTGTTTTAAATTATTGAAAACAACCAATACGAATTAATAATTGACTGGATTTATGTGTATGTGTACAAAATTAAATTTATTTAATTTTTGAGAATGCTATTGATTTTATTTAGGAAAAATATGTTTGTTTAAGAAAATTTTGTATATATCTTGGAAAAAACCTTCATTTTGTTAATTTATATCGTTTTTTATAAATCATAAACTTCCGATGAAAGTTAAATTCTTTGCTAGGATGCACACCATATAGTCCGCTATAAGGGTACGGGCAATGTGTTCCACTGGAACGACGACATCTTGCCATTTCTAAGAAGGGCAAGGTTGGATTCGATTAGGCACATTGTCGGGATAAAGATCGACCGCCAACTCATCACAGCATTGGTGGAGAGATGGCGAAAGGAGACACATTGATTCAAGTTTCGTGAAGGGGAGGGCACCATCACACCGAAGGACATCGACATCCTAGTCAATTTGCCTATCGATGGCGATGTTGTGTTTGTGGACGATCATCCACCACCTTCATATATTGACGAGATGAGCGGTTGCTAGTACTTTCTATGTAGCACCTTGGGGTTGTTCGTGCCAGAAAAGGGACGAGGAGAAGATGAGGACGATAATAATGCACCATTGAGGAGCCCCCAAGTATCCATCACTTGCCTGGCATCGAAAATCAAGAGGAGGCATGACCCTGATGAATATGGCATTCCCCTCACTGAGGAAAGTGAGGAGGCTGATAAAGAAGCCTACGTGCATGTCTACATCATCGGCATGATCGGAGGAGTGTTATTCCCAAAATGTTTGGCCATCTGCACCGTAGATACTAGATGTTTGGCCATCTCCAGAATGACCTCCACCGGAGATAAAAAAAAAATTCGACCATGACATCTACTTCCTCCTGAGTGGTTATGAGGAATTCCTAATTCCACAACGACCCGCCATGTCTGTTTGGATATCGATACACCATACGATCAACTCATATCGTGCCATCCATGCAAGTAACCTCAGTACACATTTGAAGGAGCTCTTCAAGGTTCGGTATCGTAGCGACATTCACTTTATGAAAATTACCACTGACATAACGTACCCCTTTTCGGTCTCTTCCGTATAACCATTCCACCATAACCCAAGCGTGAATTTTAGGCATGTCATCTGCCATAAAATCGTAACTAAACTAATACCATAAAAATCACAATAAAAAGTAATACAAAATAAACTTACAAAGTAACGTTAATTGCAAAAACTCAAAAAAAGTAGGGTGCACAACATAAATTTAAGAATAAGGAGAGTGGTGAAGAGCTAAGGTTTACGAGACTGCCTTTTGTAGGCAAAATGACTATTGAAAACCGCTGGTGGAGGCTGCGGTTTTTATCTGGCATGCAGCCCCACGTCTGCAACCCCCTGCATGCCGACATGTCGGATGTTAGGGGGATGGAGACGACACACAAACCGTGGGGGTGCGGTTTGTGTGTCGACAAGATAAATCTCCTGTTGAAGGAGCGGTTTCTATTGTCGACGTAGAACCGCTCCTTCAAAAGGAAGTTTGTTCTAGGTCAGCCACTAAACGGCCTCCCAATGTGGCGGTTTGTTCAAATAATTTAAACCATCACCTCACCAAGCGGTTCTCAAACAAAGTGCCTCCCCATATGGCGGTTTTCAATGGTGGTAGTTTTGGAGTTCTTTCGGGTTGGGTAGTATTTTTGTAAATTCTTTTAAACAGTGTTACTTCTGAAAAAAATTCTAAATTAAGAGGATTGCTAACTATCATCCTAATTTTTACTATAATCGTACTAATTTGAAAGTTAGGATTACATATTTACCTTCACTTTTTTTCTAATAATTCTTAGTAGTGATCTTCATGTATTGTTATTAATTAAATCTGCAATGGTATTGGTTAATCAGCGTTATTATGTTGTGGTAGTGGTAGTTTTTTTATATGTTTTGATATTGATTTCTGGTTTTTATCTAATAATGATATTAGTGTTTTTCGAAATGGTAGTGGTTGCCTAATAGATTGGTAGTGATTTTTTTTTGTGTGTGTAGAAAGATGGAGAAAAATAAGGAAAAGAGATATGGCTAGAGATTATGGAAGTGAGAGACGAGAAAGAATTGTAATTAATATATTTTGTAACTGCCTAAAATGTAATTTATTAAAAAAATTAATTAATATAATTTATTTTTCCGTATCCAAATTACCTTTAATAATCATAACCATGGTAATTATTATTATAGTAATCACCATAACCCCTGCCATGAGAATAGATAGAGTACGCACAATCATTTGATTTTCCTAGTGTTGCCTTTTGGCAGAAGTTAGGGAAAATGTGATTGCAAGTTCCAACCGAAGCTAAAATAATTTGTGTAGAGGATTGGTATATGGTATGCTTACTCACCTTTCTGAATCCCAGTAACACATTTTGTGAGACTATTCATGGCAAATAGCCAAACTTGTATATATATATGGCAAAGACTAGTGTACACTTGATGTTAGGGATGTCAATTTTGCCTACACTTATGAATATTTTATTATCTAACCTAATTGGGTTGCGTATGAAATCCAAATAGATGGTAAATGAGCAGAGTTTAATGAGTTTGTACTTTGTACCGATACCATTTATTTGGGTTGGATTTTTAATACATGGATTTGTTGCCATGTATCACCTCAAACTATCGATGAAAAATTACGTTTTGTTGCCTAAATTTTTTTGGTCTTACATTTTTACACCTAAACTTTATAGATTTTACAAATAGGTCAAATTTTTGTATGTGTAGTTAAAACACCATCAAGTAAATGGATATTTATACCCAACCCATACCCATTTAGATTATGGAAGCAATATCCATACATAACTCAAACTCATCTACAAAATTCCAAACTCATATATACTTCACTCATACCCTACCCATTTATCAATAGGTCTTGGGTTTGGGTATAATTATCCATGGATGGGTAATTGTCATCCCTACCTGACGTACACTATACGCATGCGTTCGCACCTATGATTTGTATTTTGATAAATTTGACAAATGATAATCGTAATAAACCTTATGATTTGTGTTAGAGAATTGGGGATAGGAGTCTATACCCATTATAAGTTAGTGTATAGTATCATGCCCCAAACTCCAATTAATTGACATGATCTAAATAACAAAACTCGACGAGCATTATGCCAGCCTGAACAATATATAAGGAATAGAGACATAGCCAACCTAAAACCCCAAGAAATGGCCAACAAATTAGGGTATCAAACTCCCGATCTCCAGCAACTCCCCTATGATCTTTGGTCGTCATTATTACAAAAATAGTACTACTTCACTAATCACTATATGATCTTACATATCAATCTTCCTGCCTCATATATCAGCTCGCCAAATTAACTTCGAGTAGATCGATCAATGGCGAACATTGTATTGTTGTACCAATCGAGAGGCAGCCATATATATATATGACCAGAAAGAAGATCATCGACGGCCGTAGCAGCCGCACAAGCCTCCTGAACAATATACTTCATCATCGTTACAATCATCGTAGCCCTCGCAATCCTTCTTACAACTGCACTTACCATGTTTGTGGTGGTCGTGGTCGTGATTCGTCGTCGGCGGATCATTAGTACTACTTATCATCATGGTCGAGTTACGGTCGTGTTCATGATGATGATTTGCAGCTTTGATGACTACTGCCAATTCCCTTGAGCTCGATATGCCTACGACTTGAATATATATTAGATAAAAAATGGGCAGATAGTTAACGTTTATTTCTCTTAATTTCTTTTGTTGTGAATGAACCTCTGTTTTCAGAACCGGGCAGGAGGCTGAACCGGAAAAGTTAGTGGTTTAGAGTTTAGTGGTTAACCGTTACAAAACCGTTGGTGAACCGTTAATAGACCCGTTTGTGATATATAACATATAAGACTTATATATTATACTAATTTAAAAATGAAATTATCATTGACCATAAACAAGTTCAAATTCATATCATCACCAAAATATCTAATAAATCATTCCAACCATCTCACAAAAGAAACCACATTTTTTAAATTCAAATTAAAAATTACAATTCTAGTCGGTAGTAGACAACGTAAAGTCGACCAGTGAACCAGTTAAATCATTTTTTGTTTGTTAAAATAGTGAACCAGTGGACCAGTTAAACCGTGTTGGTTCATCTGATTTTATATTGAACCGTGAAAAACCATTTGGTCCATCAATAACTGTTCAAGCAATGAACCGGACCGCTATCGTAACTGGTTTGACGATCCTACTGACCCGGCCGTTTATTCGGTTCGGTTCTTATAACATTGGAATGAAGGAAGTTTATAAAGTAAATTCATGAAGGAATAAGACTACTCAGAGCTTACCAGCTAGGAGTACTACCGAAATAACGAGGAATGCCATCATCCTGCTGCTGCTTACGGCCGCCATTGTTGCTTCTTGATGTGGGTTTCGAGTTTATGGTCATTACTAAGTAATTAATTGGCTAGTATTTATAGGGCATCCATAAGAAGAAAGACATTGTATTTTTCATTGGGTGGTTGGTATTTTTAGCTTTCGAAGCTACCAAAGCTGTGCGAACTATGTTGTCATGAAGTGGCTATTCTCTTCTGTACCCGCGAATCCTCGACCGGCATGAAAAGCAGAGTTGTGGCCGGTCGTTATCGTATATCTGGGGGAAATCACCATGCCCAAAAGCTGTCCGTATAGCTCGCCAGCCCGTGACGAGGACAAAAAACAAAATTGGTGGATTTCTTTTTCCATAAGAGCATCCACATTGGTATTGCATTCTCAATTGCAAAATGATATGTCATAGGTGTTTGCAATTGCAAAACCAATTGCAATTATGTGGCTACCAATTGCATATTTGCAAGCTTGCAACAAATGCAATTCCATATGCAAGTCAAAAAAGCCTTAAAAAATGAGGATTTTTTATTTTATATTATTTTCTTTTCTCTTTTACTTAGTTTTCTATAATTTAAAAATAATATTTAATTACATTTGCAATTGCAAGTTAATTGCATTGATGTAGGTGAATGAAATAAATGTGATGTGGATTACAAAAAATTTGAGTTGAAAATGAAAATCACAAATGCAATTTCTTTTGCAATTGTATTGATGGAGATGCTCTAAATACCACTAAAAAAAAACTTCAAAAATATCATCTATTTTCGAAATTTTTCAAAAAATACCACCCTTTATCGAAAATAGTTTGGTGTGGCGCGGTTTGGTCCAAAACTGCTGCCCCCTACTGTTTGGTCTAAATTTTTTTTCGATTAGTCTTAACCTAGGTGGAAACTTCAAACGAACGTAACATTGTGCTCGGGTATCCGATTGTAGCGAAATATTTTTGATTCCGCATAACTTTTCGAGATATTGCAAGCCTCAAAGGGCCTTAGGCAGATTGGTCCCGCCTTCGTCCCAAAAAACGTCATTTGCTACCCCGAACGAGCTTTTTTCCTATTTCGTCAAACTTTGGAAGACCATAACTTTGTGCTCCAAAATGCGAACGTCACATTTTTTTATTTCACTTAACTTTTTAAGGACTACAACTTTTACTAGGAAGAATTTTTCAAAATGACAATTATTTTTTGGATATAAGGGGTTTTGGGAATAACTTTACCTTTATTTTTCACAAATTTACGTACATTCCGAAATTATGGCTATGATAAAATTTGAAGTTCTTCAATAGTTATGAGAAATAAAAAAAATTATGACGCTCGGATTTTGGAGCACAAAGTTATGGGTATGGCCGTCCAAAGTTTGACAAAATCGAGTAAAAGCTCGTTCGGGGTAGCAAACGACGTTTGCTCAGGATGAAGGTAGGACCAAATTGCAAGATCTTTAAAAGTTATGCGGAATCACACAAATTTCGCTACAATCGGATACCCGAGCACAAAGATACGTTCGTTTGAAGTTTTCACCTAGGTTAGGATTGATAAAATTTTTTTGGACCAAACCGCCCGAGGGCAGCAATTTTGGACCAAACCGCCCTAACCCCATGCGGTCAATAAAACACCCCCAAGCCATGTGGTTTACATAGAAAACTGTGCCCCCACCAGGCTGTTTTCGAGAAAATGTGATATTTTTGAAATATTTCGGAAATGGATGATATTTTTAGATTTTTTTTATATTTAGTGGTATTTCTAGAAAAAAAATCCAAAATTGGAAAGGACTCATAAAAGGATTTGGTTTTTTTCATGAACGTTGGCGGGCCGTTAATACGAAAACACAATGTAAGGAATGATAAAACAAATTAAAAACAATATTGAATTCATCGAATCAATGGCGACGCTATGGAGTTTGGTTCACTTTCATGAGGATTACCGTAAGACATTACAATTTACAACACAAAGCATATGATAAAATGTCAGGAACTGGTAGGAAAGAATCGATTGAAGGTGTGATTAATCACTCTCCTTAGAGTGTTATTTGCCCCCACTACAAATTGCTGTTAGGCTTGAGCAAACCACCCCCAGGAGTCCCTTCAATTTTTAAGTCTGGAAGCAGCAATCTTGCAGACTTCTGTGGTTATGAAATAGAGAAGGAAAACGGGAAGAAGAAGAAATTCTCTCGCATGTTTTGTCTAAAAAGAGTTATGGCAGTCATCTATTTATAGTTGTCAAAATTGGAAGTTACCTTCCGAAGAGACACATCCTTTCACAAAACAAGGTAGTTACCTTTCCCGAAAGGACACATCCTTTCACAGAAAAGGGGAGTTACCTTTCTGGAATGACACTTCTTTTCACAATATTCAAACGTTAATTAATTAATATAAAATTAATTAATTAAATTGCCAAAAAACTCCATCTTTATAATCTACTTCTCCCATCAATGTCGTATTACAACTCTATTGACTAACTCTAACAATCCCCCACTTAGTCAACAAGAGTTGAGAATACCTGCCTCGAACAAGTAACGCATACATAAAGGTATCTTTTCGATTTGAACCTTTACCTAGTGTAAGCAACTCAAAGTTGATAACGAATCAGTGACGGGTTTAAGCCTAGGAGTCATGATCCAAAGCTATAATCGGAGATGCCACACACGTACTTGTCTCTTCTCTAAACCACAACCACCAACTAGGGTAGCACTATTATGGCCATGTGCTAATCCTGTTTCATGAGCATACACAAAAGTTGACCTCTACTTTTGTTAGAGCGGCACCACTCTAAATGCTCACATAGGTGACATTCCAAATGAATCCATTAAGAGTTCTATAACTCATCTCAAGAGTTCTATAACTAACCCTCTTTGGACTAATTTACTTGTACAATAAATTAGTGCCTCTGTTAGAGTAACTTGTTATTACCACATTGAACCTTTTAATTAGTGAATACCTAAAGAAAAGGTTGGGTTCCCGTTACTTCTAACTACACAAAAAGGTCTTAATCCCATCCCTTGGGATATCTCATAGATCATGCCTCTTGGCTAT